GACTACAAAATCATCAAGATTATGCTCTACATGTTCAAGGCGCTCTCTCTTTGGTCGTTGTCCGAGAACTCGATCTACAGCTTGAATTCCTGGAAGAGGGCCAAAGGATAGCCCTATACTCACCGTCATTGGCCCGCCCATGCCAACGGGGCCCTGCACACGATTGTCCAGACGTGGCCCGACCCCGGTCTGTCTGTAGTGCACTTATATGGTTTCAGCCTTGTGCACGAGAAGAACTTTGAGGTTAAGATACCCCAGGAGATTGACATCGAGGGCATTGATAGTTTGACTGTTGATGCATTTGAGGGGATGCTTGCTTTGGGTTGTGCTTACGAGTCCCGGTTCGTGATCTGGCTTATGATGCAGGGTTTGGGGATTCGGCTGCTCTAGTTGGTGATCGAGCCCGATGATTTCGTGCGGTCGCTTGCTTTTGACAAAAATGAGAATATCCTGCTCCACCACATGCTCAATCACAGTTGCAAGAAGCTTACTGTGTGTGCGAGTTGATGTCGAGGAATGCCAAGGATTTTGCTATGCCTTTCGAGTTTTCCCCTTTATTTTGTCTCGAGACCCTTGTATCACCTCACGCCTTGGACAAGGGGAAGACTGTGAAGAAAAACTTGATTGGGAAAAGTAAGAAGAAGAAGAAGAAAATGAAGAAGAAAATGAACAAGAGGAACAATCTGTGGCAAAAAGGATTGGTTTTATCATCTAGCTTGTATTCTTCCTAGTTGCAGTCACACACAACCACACATTAATTAGTTGTCTGTTTATGTATGGATTTATATTATGTTTTTTTCTTTGTTTAGATTGATTAACATGTGTTAATTCTCATTTATTGCACGTATTAACATTATATAAACTGGATTTCATGTTGTGCTTGCTCTGAAACAACGCATGAGGTACCGACGTAGAGTATATGCTTTAGTTATTTGCATGTTGTCTTTCTTTGCGGCTCCTGTCAACAAACCAAAAGAAAAATAGCTTATTATGTGATGTTGTTGAGAGTGTGATGTAAAGGGCTACGAGTATATATTAGTATGTGATGAAATTGAGCTAGTGTTGGTCTGTAATGATTTTTGGAATTCTGTATTGGCAGATTAGTTAATTAGTGTGTTTATTTCGGTTCTTTCATTGAAAGTTTGCAAGAATTGTTGAGCCACCATGTACTAATATTAGACTATTACTAGTTAACTGTAAAACTTACCTCCAATAATATAGGGAAATGTTACGGTACGGGACCATCCGGTGGGGTGTTTAACTGTTGAATCATTATCTTATCTAACTACACGTGGATCCAACGATTAAAAAAAATACCTGACGGGATGGTACTATATAATGAGACCGTAGCATTTCCCAATAATATATGTGAGGGAAATGGAGAAAGAGGGGTTGAATCTAAAGGTCTATCCTTAGTGTCAATCTCATCCATAAGAGGAACTTGTCTGTCCAATTCCTGCATGAACAGCACGGCATCAGAAAATCTCATTCACGATTACCGTAGATTAACGAAGTAGAAAACCACAAACAGAAAAAAACCTCATTCATGTCATGAGCCATGTTCTTCAAAGTATCCAAACCCTCTGCTATGACATCTAATCCTTGGTCCTGCATTATGACAGTACACAACGAGTAAGATATTTACCAATTAAAAATACTCTCAAATAACCCATACTAAGGGAGAAAACATCACATGCCTGTTTCATTTTCCGCATTTCATACTCTTGCCTGAATTTGCTCGACTCTTCAGTTTGCTGAAAGTATTCATCATCAAAGCGCCCATCTAAAACAAAAATTCCACATGTTCGAGTTAATGACTAAAGAATAGACAGACCCGCCAACACACCCCACCCCAAGTGCGTGAAAGAGCAAACCGAATGAATGCATGAAACAAATAAAGAGGCCAATTTGCTAAATATGAGTTTACGGATTGAACACACTTATAAGGATCGACAGAAACCTGAATCAAATTTGATCTCCGACCGAGGAGCTGAAGTTCCCCAACCCGAAGATGATTTGGGTGCAGGTGCAGAGCCATCAGGTATGGCCTGAATCCGATCAGGCAATGCAAGGACAAGGTCATTCCGAGCAGCAAGTTCTTCTGTAGAAAGTCCTTTGACCTGCACCAATAATATAGCCAATAAGTAAGCACACTCCATAATGCCAAACTAAGGCTTGTTCTTCAAAGCGATTTATGGACAAACCAAGGTAATAAACCCAAAAAGGTCATCCAAAGCTGAAAATATACCATTTAGCTTAAACATATATTGGGCATTGTGAGCATGCTTCATAAATCATAATTCTAACA